TTTGCGAAACAGGAAGCCAATTCTAGATTTAATAGTCTAAACCCTAGGGGGGCTACTAAAACTATATGGAATCGTTTTAAGAAGGTCATACCAAGGATCATTTAGCTATTTCTTTTGTAATTGTAAGACCCCTTGAAGTATCAAAAAAAGAAAATGAGGATTTGATGAAAATTGTATTTTGGCCTTACTGCTATTAGCCCATACAAACGCATTGAATAACAGATTCACTACATGGAACAACAGATCATCAAAATAAATTAAAAGGAAGTTTGTTCTGAGGTGTCTGAGACAAAGATCAGGAAACATATAGACTACCAGTCATGTTTGGACACACCGACTCATTCAAGGGTTGTTCTTTATTTTCACTATTTTCTACATTGTAGAATAATAGTGAAGACACCAAACTATGAAATAACACATATGGAATCATGTAGTAACCAAAAAAGTGTTAAACAATTTAAAATATATTTTATTTTTGAGATTCTTCAAATAGCCACCATTTGCCTTGATGACAGCTTTGCACACTCTTGGCTATCTTCTACCCCCCCCCCCACCTTGTCACAACACAACTGATTGGCTAAAAGGAAGGAAAGAAATTCCACAAATTAACTTTTAAGAAGGCACACCTGTTAATTGAAATGCATTCCAGGTGACTACCTCATAAAGCTGGTTGAGAGAATGCCAGTTAAACTTTTGACTGGTAGTGTATATATATATACAGTTGAAGTCGGAAGTTTACATACACCTTAGCCAAATACATTTAAACTCAGTTTTTCACAATTCCTGACATTTAATCCTAGTAAAAATTCCCTGTCTTAGGTCATTTAGGATCACCACTTTATTTTAAGAATGTGAAATGTCAGAATAATAGTAGAGAGAATGATTTATTTCAGCTTTTATTTCTTTCTTCACAGAGCAAAACGGAGAACCATAGAATAATAGTTTGTAGGCCAAACGGTTCGGACGCTACAGACAATTTTATGACAAAAAATTTTTTGGTGGGGGGATGTCTCATGGTCTGACAAACATGGCTCTAGCTCTGTCACCTTTCACCGCAGATGCGGAAGTGCGACATCGGTAGATGCGGTGTATTGAGATACATCTCTAGCATAAACTGACTGATTTTTATGGGGATTCTTTTAGTATCCTAATTGATTTTCGCGGGGGGCGCGGTCATCGACTCTAGGTGGTTTTAAACGTCTGCCACTGGCAGTGTTACAGATGGTCTGGAGAAAATAAACCTCTGACAAGTTTGAGGGAAAACACATGTGCACCCATTGCACTGTGTTACATTTATGCACATTAATTTACATCATACAACCCAGGATCTTTAAAAAAGTGTGTGAATAGGAACTTTCTGTTTAACTCCTCTCTTGGAGAAACCACACTATGGCAGATTAGTCTTTAGCTACAGTATCCCCCATGATCTCATCAGGGATGGCAAACCAAGAGGGACCCGCCTTGGCCTGGTGGATTAATAATATGGTATAGAGAAAAAATCTGTATGTTTGACTCACTGTCCCCATGCCATATGGTCTTCGGACCTGGGTTCAAATAATATTTGTTTTCATTCAAATACTTAAAATGCGCTCGATTCAGCTTTACTGACACAATGGAACCAATTGGATAGTCCTACCAGGCACTCCAGCAGGCTGAATTAAACATTCAAAGTATTTAAAAGAAAACAAATACTATTTGAACCCAGGTTTGTGTCCAGCTGCAGACTGTGTGTTGTGAACCAACAGAGACAAGGTGAGAGAGAGAGAGAGACAGAGAGAGAGAGAGAGAGAGAGAGAGATAGAGAGAGATAGAAAGAGGAGAGAGAGAGAGCGAGAGAGAGAGAGCGAGAGAGAGCGCACCACCTCCAGTTTGGCACGCGATGACGGCAGGATGTTAAGTCATGGAGTGGCAACACAGTAAAAGCAGCCTGGAAACAAAGACTCCCTTATCCCTCTCTCTTCTACACCCGACCTCCTGTGTTTCATGTTGTCGTGGCTTTACTGGACTACAGTACACAATGGCCGCACGGGCCCTGCCAGAGGGACTCTGGACGGTGAAAAGACCACAAGCCTAGAATGTGTTTGACATGTAGGCAGATGTAAATATTGTACAGTATAATTGTCACACACACACAATTCCCAGAGCGTGTGGGAGGCTATAATTATAATACAGTTACATCATCTGTTTACCACAGACTGCATATATATACAGTACATACCACAGATATACATCAGAGACCACTGCATCTGTCTTAAACTATGACCCAAAGGAGAACCAGATGACATAGTGAGATAATGAGAGAATGAGAGAATGGGAGAATGAACAAGTATTTAAAAAGCTGTCCCTGTGTGTGTGTGTGTGTGTGTGGATTTGGAGGGTGGATACAGCTTAAACACGGTTCAAATATTGAGATTTAAAGGACATTAGGGACTGTGGGAAAGTATAGTGAGGGCAAGCACAGGGGGACATTGTAGTACAGTCAGTGGTGGAAAAAGTACCCAATGATCATACTTGAGTAAAAGTAAAGATACCTTAATATAATATATTACTTGGGTAAAGGTCTAAAAGTATTTGGTTTAAGTATCAAAAGTATATGCAAAAGTAAAAGTATAAATCATTTCACATTCTTTATGTTAAGAAAACCAGACAGCACGATTTTCTTGTTTTTTTAAATTTACAGATAGCCAGGGGCACACTCCAACACTCAGACATAATTTACAAATCAAGCATTTGTGTTTAGTGAGTCCACCAGATCAGAGTCAGTAGGGATGACCAGGGATGTTATCTTGATAAGTGCGTGAATTGTAACATTTTCCTGTCCTGCTAAGCATTCAAAATGTAACAAGTACTTTTGGGTGTCATGGGAAAATATATGTAGTAAAAATATTTTTTCCATAGGAAAAACAAAGTGGAGAAAAAGTAAAAGTTGTCAAAAATATAAATAGTATGGTACCACCACCCTTACCACCGCCCTACCTGTACCAAAGGATCCAAATCCCTCAACTGGGGTCAGAGATGACCGCATGTGCTCTCTAGTAGCCCCACCCCCATATGTATAAGTGTCTTCTCAAGTCTCTCAGTCTCTAAAGAGTATACAGTGTGATGTCTGGCAAAGCGAGACCAGCTCCTCAGTTTCATACCGCATAGAGACCAACCTCAGTAGGATTTCTGACTGTTGAAAACAGCTGGGAACTAAGACCTAAAGTTTTTTTGTGTGTGTCTAATTCATTTTCTCTTATAATAACCATGTAATTACAACACTTTAAATCTGATATTCTGTGTTTGAGGATAACACATACCAGTACTGGTCATTTCAATTTGAAGGCAAACTGTTACAAAACACACAATTAAATGAAAAATGTAAACAGGGCAGATCATTTAGCGTTCAACTTTATTGCCAAAGCTGCAAGTAATTGTGGTTAATTGTTCTGTATGTCACATATAATGATGATCAACATCCTTTAAAATTACAACAGTAGCCTATATGACAATTACTGTGTCTGAGCCAGAGTTTCCATGTGTGGGTGTAAATGGGAGAGACTCTTGGGGGAATTGAGAAGGTACAACTAATTTATTTTAACTTGTCTGGAACCAGTTCAGAAGAGTCACCGTCGCCTTCAGCTCTGACTCCAACTAGTTCATACTCAAATTACAGTGAGATTACTGAATACTGAAAAAGTGGCCAATTGAAGAATAACCCAAAGAGACATTAAGCACACTTGAATATCATAGTAGTCTTGAACAACCTTGTCAGAAGGCTTCATTCTTAGCCAGCAGTGTTCAAAGTTATCTGGTCTGCTGCCTGATATTATTTATATGTTAGTGTGAACATACCAACCAATAGATAGATTCATCTTGATGGCTGAAGGGAAAGGCCCTTAAGCCGTATATAAATGCCTTTCTAAGCAGCAATGGTAGACAGATAATTCTCAGATGATTATCTAATACCCACCATTTTAGCCTTCAGCTACCAGGACATATATGTTACCATTTTAACCATTGACATCAGATATGCAGTAATTAACCTGGTTAGCATGAAGAAGAAAAAAGGCCCACACCCCCCAATAGGCCTATATGATTCTCTCCAAATAGGGCGCTGTGCCTCCTATACCTATGAGATGCTAGATATCAACTTCTTTGGAAACACTCCTGAGTGGCGCAGTGGTCTAAGGCAGTGCCACTAGAGATCCTGGTTCGAATCCAGGCTCTGTCGTAGCCGGCCGCGACCGGGAGACCCATGGGGCGGCGCACAGTTGGCCCAGCGTCGTCCAGGGTAGGGGAGGGAATGGCCTGCAGGGATGTATCTCAGTTGGTAGAGCATTGCGTTTGCAATGCCAGGGTTGTGGGTTCGATTCCCACGGGGGGCCAGTATGAAAAATAAAACAAATAATATATGCACTCACTAACTGTAAGTCGCTCTGGATAAGAGCGTCTGCTAAATGACTAAAATGTAAAATACATGGAAATGCTATTTTCATACAGTAGCACAGTCTTTTTTTAAGTGTACCTTTCAACAACATACTTCCAGCAATAAATATGGGAATATTTATGGCCTAATCCTTGGTAGGACAAAGCAGAAGATCAGATAACCTTATCCTCTATTAATCAGTTGCCACTGACAAACAGGTCTATTTTTAGTTAAGTGGCACTTGACCAAAGAGGATATATTTCAGCCATTGTGTCCCCTAAGTGTGTTCTTTTGCATTAACACATTGGTTCATGATGAATATGGATGTCTTTAAGCCTTAATTCATAAAGTCAGTGACACATTAAACATCTGTATAACCTATCATGTCTTAGTACTTGACACACTCTTTTAAATCAAACGCAGGTCATGGTCCCCCACTGGTAAATTCCCATAAGTCTGTGTATGGTCAATTATCAGTGTTGGGCAAAGTATTCTCACTACCTTGACACATAGCCTTGGCAGAGGGCGCCGCTGGGGCAGTCTACTAACTATTTAAAAGGCCAGTCGCAAGATGAGCAGCGAGCACAGCGCGAGCGGTAGCAGCTGGCGAGAGGATATCAACGCGTAGCGCACAGCTCTGTTCTGTTCAAGAGGAGGATGCGCATCTTCGCTGTCATCTGGGCGGTCTGCTTCTTCTTGAAGGAAGTGCAAGCGTGGGGCTTCAGAAATGGAATCTTTCATAACTCCATATGGTTGGGTAAATCATGCTTTCTTTTGTTATCTTCATTACTTTTCCAACAAGGATAGGCTACTTTTGGAACTTTTAAGCTTTCCAACAACTGCGGTTGGAAACATTGGCTTTCTGTAGGACATTCTCCTGAAAGTGTTCTGTGTTTGTATTTTACAAGATGGTTATGGAATGTTCCGATGTAACGTTTAGCACAACTATGACAAAAAGTGTATCAAATAACATTGATCAGCTTTGGTATGGTTTTCTTTTGTTTGGGTTGCTTGGTCAAAGGCCTATAAGAGGCGCCGGTTTCTCTTTGATGTGTCTACAGAACTTAGGCTAATTATCATTCCCATGTGTTAGAAAAAGTTTTACTTTATATGTTCACTTCTCTAACCGCTCTTTATCTTCAACATAATCTCACAATCCTGCACAACATAGGCTATTTATATATATTTTTTAGCCTAAAAACATTTAGCATTAATTAAACCTGATAACAGTGTGCAAAGCTGTCATCAAGGCAAATGGTGGCTATTTGAAGAATATCAAATATCAAATATATTTTGATTTGTTTAACACTTTTTTGGTTATTACATGATTCCATATGTGTTATTTCATAGTTTTGATGTCTTCACTATTATTCTACAATGTAGAAAATAGTAAAAATAAAGAAAAACCCTTGAATGAGTAGGTGGTCTAAAAGTTTTGACTGGTAGTGTATATATATTTTTACAATTCTCACAAAAGTAGTGCACTGGGCCTTTAATAGTCCTGTATTAGGGGACCAATATAGCCCGTCTGAAGCGCGGGCAAAAACTATTTTCCCACCCCCAAACTACTTCCCACGGCTATGCCCCAACCAATTTCAATGGAATGTGTCATATAGGCTACTTCTGATAGAGTTAATGAGCTCGACTTGCCCATCAGACCTACACACTTCTGGAACACATAAACTAAACTGCATGTTTTCAGGAATATGTCATGTGACCCAAACTCCCTATATAATTTGGTTAGACTAATAGTGAGACACACCACTCTCTAGGATTATAATGAAAACGAGGCACCACCTCACGAGGCACCTTGGAGGAAGAGGTTGGCTAGTAGGTGCAAATATTGACTCGTAGCTAATTTGGACTGCACTCCAAGTCCTACAAGGTCATGCATGATATCAAAACAGGTTCAAAGGAGGACCCCCCATAGAGAAGCACAGGAGTATGACCACTCCCGAGAGGGAGATTACAAATATTTAGCGTCTGTCCTAAGGCTTTCTATCCAACCACAACACGTTACGGAGTTGAAAGTTGTTGGCCTATCCACCGTGTGTGTTTCATGTTTATTTTCTTCCGCTATGAACTTCTTAGTCTGAAAGCCACTTTGCTTGTTCTAGCTCCCTGAGAAGGATTCCCACAATCTTGTAAAACAGAATATTTTCCACTTGTTTCCTGTTGCCTGGATACGTATCATTGTGGTTGTGGCAGTGGGACACTATACAGGCATTGGCAGCATATCTGTTGTTCTGTAGTGCTTTGAAAGTGATAGCAGTATTGACTGACTGACTGGGACTTCTTTTTTTCTGGACAGAGCAAGCTGCTGGAGTCTACCACAGGGAATCACGTAAAGGGAGATACCAGCTGACTTATAAGGAGGCCAAGGCCGTGTGCAAATACGAAGGAGGAAATCTGTCCACTTACGATCAACTGGAGGCTGCTCGTCAAATAGGTTTGCAATGCAATAACTTCCCTATTCCCCCAATCCCCCTTAGTCCCCTCTAGTCCGTGTCCTCCATCTCTCCCTCCCCCCTCTCTCTCTTTCTCTCTCTCTATCGCTGTCTCTCTTTCTCTCTCTCCCCCTCTCTGAATTTATAAGGAAAGAGTATGGAGGACTATAACTCAGAAGCAGCATAATGTTGCCAATTGGATTCTGTCAATGTCAATGCAGACTTTCAAAATAATGAGTGGCCCCTGAGCCCTGAGTTTACGAAATGCCGTTACCACTGTTGATTAACGATGCCTTACAGTTTGCCTAAGAGCACATATAATTAAACAGTTTAAATTATCCAACCATGTGTTCACTGGTCAAGCAATGGCAGGAAAGAGTGTGTTTATCTTGCCTTTCTCCCATGAAATCAATCAGAGATGTCTTGCCACTGCACTACAGCCTGTTGCTCTGTGGGACTGCAGCCGGACCCAATCCACTCCCTACCCTTTCCCCTAATCCTTCGATGTCTGCAGATCAGAAAGATAATATAAGCAGTGTAGGGGTGTGTTGTTTTCACCATATTCCCTACACCTTACAGATCAAACATCAACGGTTTAGGGTCAAGGAGAAGGGGTATAGGGAGTGAATTGGTACCAGCTTGAGAGGTCTCCCCAGTATAGTAAGAACAGTAACATCTGCCTGGCTGGCTTATGGTAACATTCGTTCCCATGGCAGACAGACTGAAGCCAGACCAGGCCCTGACTTGGGAAACCACAACTTGTATGTCTGTGGTTAGAGCAGAGCTGCCCCATGGCCAATTATCCTAGGAGGTCTGAGTTTGTCTCCCCTGCATTTCCTGACTGACTGTGGTCCACTGATTGTGACTGGAGGCTTTTTTTAGATACATTGGAGTTCATTATGCTTTACCCCCACCACCCACCACCCATCCACATCCCCACATCAATGGTCCGCTTGTAATTGCAGATGCAAAGTCAGTGGAAGGCACATTTTTGACAGGGACCGTAGCATTTCCAAAGACAGGGTTTTGTTTTAAGGATACGAGCAAGACGAATGGCTGGTGGTAACCCAATATGGCCATGGATATTCTGTAAGAGTGATTTATCTGTGGTACTAAGAGGGGGATGCTAGCTCTAGACTTTACCAATGTGACACTCTTTCTTACCCCGGAAACAGCATGAAACTTTGCAAATTCAGTTTCTTACCAGGCTAACTCTTTGTCCCTCATTCCTAGGTTTTCACGTGTGTGCGGCTGGGTGGTATGACAAAGGTCGTGTAGGCTACCCTATCGTCAAAGCTGGTGCCAACTGTGGTTTTGGGAAGGTTGGTGTCATCGACTACGGGTACAGGCTGAACAAGAGTGAGAGATGGGACGTCTACTGCTACAACCCCAACTGTGAGTAGTGAACAGACCTGGTTTCAAATACTATTCCAAATCATTTCAAATTCTCAATCTGTGCTTGATTGAACTTGACTGTTGTAATTGGAACCAATAGAAAAGTCTCAAAAGTGCAAACTTCACCCACCTGGCACTCCAGGCAGGCTAAAGAAAACACTCAAAGTATTTGAACGATTTCAAATAGTATTTGAACCCATCTGCTTGCATGACAAATGGAGGTTAAGGCAATCCTGGGTGTGTTGGTTTAACAGTTTAATGGACCATGAGTCTTCACCATATGAGATGAGTGTGTGGTTGAGTCAGACAGACATTGCTTTCTAATGGGTGACGTTAGGGGAACACAGGGTCAGAGTTGTAAAGTTGATTGTGGTCCATGACATGTAGGCTAATGTACTAGTGGGACACATTGATGACTGTACATGGACAGGCGGTTGTGGTCTGGGTCAGGGTGAGAACTTCCCTGGTAGGCCATTGACTGTACATAGGCAGTTCGATTCCAGGCTGTATCACAACCGTCCGTGATTGGGAGTCCCATAGTGCGGCGCACAATTGGCCCAGTGTCGCCCGGGTTTGGCCGGTGTAGGCCGTCATTGTAAATAAGAATTTGTTCTTAACTGACTTACCTAGTTAAATAAAGGTAAAAATAAATAAAAAATGTGGTAAGAACTTTATCCAGTTATTGTAAATATCGGGGACATATTTACAACACTTTTACCGCATCTTTAATTTATCATGACAAAACAGCTGTATTGGGGCCTGTCATGATGTTTTCATGGTGGAGAATGACACATGACCACATGTTTGGAGTTGTCACCACATGTGATGACTGTACTCAACATGGAAGAGGTTGCCTCATTGGATGAGATAGCTGCCTTAAGATACTGACAGTGTCCCAAATGGCACCATATTTCTTTTTTAGTGCACTACTTTTTGACATAGCACTCTGGTCAAAAGTAGTGCACTAAATAGGTAATAGGATGCCATTTAGGGCATAGACGCTCATTTTCCCCATAATTGCCTGTGACTTAGAGGATTTATGGTTCGCATTTCATAAGTTATGGATGAATTGCATAAAACAACTCCTAATTACAATAATTTTCCCTTTACAAATCCAAGGGATCTAGAGCTTTTGATTTCATTTCACCCAAACTGGACATTTCATTTTCTTCATTCAAATGACAAAGAAGTCTCTTTTCCCATTTCTAACTTCATTCAGTGGTCACATCACATGTGAAAGAGAACAACACAAGCAGAATTTCCCTATATTTTCATTTATCATAAAGCATAATGATGATAGCACATGTAACACACTGATGTAATACACTGTTAGTTTTATTAAACTTGTTTTGCTTACAGCGTTACTATTAACAGTCTTTAGTAACAGCCATTGTGCAGAATATTGTACTATTTACAATCAGCTAAGGAAAGTGACTAATTTAAAAGTCCTCTGGATCTAGTTTAGTTTATTAGTTTAGTTTATTGATCTTTCTATTTGATCTGTTACAGTATATCGATCATATCTAATGTAACATTTCCTCATCCTGTCTCCTCCTTTCTCCTGGTCCACAGCAAAGGAGTGTGGAGGTACTCTGACAGACCAGCAGAGGATCATCCAGTCACCTGGTTACCCAGAGGAGTACCAGGATGAGCAGATCTGCTACTGGCACATCCGTGTGCGCTATGGACAGAGGATACGCCTGCACTTCCTGGAGTTCGACGTGGAGGAGGACACGTCCTGTCTAGCAGACTACCTGGAGATCTATGACAGCTATGACGACGTCTCTGGCTTCGCCGGGAGGTGAGGATCCAGCTTTTGATTGAATGTGCCTTTGCATTAAGTTTTAGTTTATTGAGTTTACATTGTATGGTTGATTTAGGGTTGTTACAGTCTTATCCAAGATGACAGAAAGTTGCATTGTACTAAATGTATTGATACTTACATAGACTCTCTTTTCACACGACAAACTGTCATAACATAGGCTACTGTCCTCTAGTGGTGTTTAGTATGACCATTTTGTCCACATGTTACTCTACGATCAAATAAATCTATTTATTCTTTCCAGGTACTGTGGAGATTACTTACCAGATGACTTAATTAGCACAGGTATGACACAAACACATTCCTATTTTATTACCATATAATGATGAATACTCATTATTATAGATCAAGAAGTTACTGTATATTTAAAGCAATTGTACACGAGCGGGCGTGTGTTGTGACTTTTTTAGCACGGCTGTGCTGCGGTTGTAGGTACGAGACAAAGCCCTTTTTTAATCATCAAGTGTTGATCAATTTTTAGTTATAATGGTTTTCTTTGATAAACTGTGTCCACATTTCAAATATCAGGACAGGATGTATTATCAGTACTTTATACACATAGCAATATATCCAAATGTCCCCTTTCCCCGTTTCTCTCTCCCACAGGGAATGTGATGACACTAAAGTTCCTGTCCGATGCGTCTGTAGTCGCAGGAGGCTTCCAGCTGGAGTACATTGCTGTGAACGCTTCTCTCCTCCACTTCCAGAATGACACCAGCTATTACTTCACTTGAGCAATTATTTAATAGATGCTTTTTTAAATATTAATGTTTCCTATTGTATTTATAATGTTGTCGTTTTAACTCATGTAATTGATGTTTGTATCCTTGTTGTCATCAAGGGAAAGCAAATAAATGCTGTATTAAATGTATAACCTCACATGTGTTTAATGTTTTTTTGATGTGGGTGTTGTTGAGTATGTCACTAATGTACTTCACTGTGTCACATGTCCCTCCCTACCTTTATCATTGTTTGGGATGATCATCAAGGTGTGAATGGAGTTATTCAGTAAATTATGTTGAAGCACAATTTTGGGATGTTCAGTGAAATTCATTTTCACCACCAATTTGGGACATTGTCAATGGAAAGGCAATACATGATTCCACAGTCACCTGATTAGGCTTGTATAGCACAGAGTAATAGGGAGTTAGTTATCAGTATCTTTGGATATAGGCTATATTATTCTGCAAATGTAGACTATTTATTTATTTATTTATTTATTTTTTATTTAACCTTTATTTAACCAGGTAAGCCAGTTGAGAACAGGTTCTCATTTACAACTGCGACCTGGCCAAGATAAAGCAAAGCAGTGCAATAAAAACAACACAGAGTTACATATGGGGTAAAAAACATAAAGTCAAAAATACAGCAGAAAATATATATACAGTGTGTGCAAATGTAGCAAGTTATGGAGGTAAGGCAATAAATAGGCTATAGTGCAAAATAATTACAATAGTATTAACACTGGAATGCTAGATGTGCAAGAGATTATGTGCAAATAGAGATACTGGGGTGCAAAAGAGCAAAATAAATAACAATATAGGGATGAGGTAGTTGGGTGGGCTAATTTCAGATGGGCTGTGTACAGGTGCAGTGAACGGTAAGGTGCTCTGACAACTGATGCTTAAAGTTATTGAGGGAGATAAGAGTCTCCAGCTTCAGAGATTTTTGCAATTCGTTCCAGTCATTGGCAGCAGAGAACTGGAAGGAATGGCGGCCAAAGGAGGTGTTGGCTTTGGGAATGACCAGTGAGATATACCTGCTGGAGCGCAGACTACGGGTGGGTGCTGCTATGGTGACCAATGAGCTAAGATAAGGCGGGGATTTGCCTAGCAGTGATTTATAGATGGCCTGGAGCCAGTGGGTTTGACGACGAACATGTAGTGAGGACCAGCCAACAAGAGCGTACAGGTCACAGTGGTGGGTAGTGTATGGGGCTTTGGAGACAAAACGGATGGCACTGTGATAGACTACATCCAATTTGCTGAGTAGAGTGTTGGAGGCTATTTTGTAAATGACATCGCCGAAGTCAAGGATCGGTAGGATAGTCAGTTTTACGAAGGCATGTTTGGCAGCATGAGTGAAGGAGGCTTTGTTGCGAAATAGGAAGCCAATTCTAGATTTAACTTTGGATTGGAGATTATTTATGTGAGTCTGGAAGTTGAGTTTACAGTCTAACCAGACACCTAGGTATTTGTAGTTGTCCACATACTCTAGGTCAGACCCGTCGAGAGTGGTGATTCTAGTCGGGTGGGTGGGTGCCAGCAGCGTTCGATTGAAAAGCATGCATTTAGTTTTACTAGTGTTTAAGAGCAGTTGGAGGCTACTGAAGGAGTGTTGTATGGCATTGAAGCTCGTTTGGAGGTTTGTTAACACAGTGTCCAATGAAGGGCCAGATGTATACAAAATGGTGTCGTCTGCGTAGAGGTGGATCTGAGAGTCACCAGCAGCAAGAGCGACATCATTGATATACACGGAGAAAAGTGTCGGCCCAAGAATTGAACCCTGTGGCACCCCCATAGAGACTGCCATAGGTCCAGACAACAGGCCCTCCGATTTGACACACTGAACTCTATCTGAGAAGTAGTTGGTGAACCAGGCGAGGCAGTCATTTGAGAAACCAAGGCTATTTAGTCTGCCAATAAGAATGCGGTGGTTGACAGAGTCGAAAGCCTTGGCCAGGTCGATGAAGACGGCTGCACAGTACTGTCTATTATCAATCGCGGTTATAATATCGTTTAGGACCTTGAGCGTGGCTGAAGTGCACCCATGACCAGCTCGGAAACCGGATTGCATAGCGGAGAAGGTACGGTGGTATTCGAAATGGTGGGTGATCTGTTTGTTAACTTGGCTTTCAAATACTTTCGAAAGGCAGGGCAGGATGGATATAGGTCTGTAGCAGTTTGGATCTAGAGTGTCACCCCCTTTGAAGAGGGGGATGACCGCGGCAGCTTTCCAATCTCTGGGGATCTCAGACGTTATGAAAGAGAGGTTGAACAGACTAGTAATAGGGGTTTTTCGGCGGCTAGTTTTAGAAAGAAAGGGTCCAGATTGTCTAGCCCAGCTGATTTGTAGGGGTCCAGATTTTGCAGCGCTTTCAAAACATCAGCTGTCTGAATTTGTGTGAAGGAGAAGCGGGGGGGGCATGGGCAAGTTGCAGCGGAGGGTGCAGAGTTGGTGGCCGGGGTAGTGGTAGCCAGATGGAAAGCATGGCCAGCTGTAGCAAAATGCTTGTTGAAATTCTCGATTATTGTAGATTTATCGGTGGTGATAGTGTTTCCTAGCCTCAGTGCAGTGGGCAGCTGGGAGGAAGTGCTCTTATTCTCCATGGACTTTACAGTGTCCCAAAACTTTTTGGAGTTAGTGCTACAGGATGCAAATTTCTGTTTGAAAAAGTTAGCCTTTGCTTTCCTGACTGCTTGTGTATATTGGTTCCTAACTTCCCTGAAAAGTTGCATATCGCGGGGGCTATTTGATGCTAATGCTGTACGCCACAGGATGTTTTTGTGCTGGTCAAGGGCAGTCAAGTCTGAGGAGAACCAGGGGCTATATCGGTTCTTAGTTCTGTATTTTTTGAATGGGGCATGTTTATTTAAGATTGAGAGGAAATTACTTTTAAGGAACAACCAGGCATCCTCTACTGACGGAATGAGATCTATATCCATCCAGGATACCTGGGCCAGGTCAATTAGGAAGGCCTAAAGTGTTTTAGGGAGCGTTTGACAGTGATGAGGGGTGGTCGTAATATTATCAAAATAAAAAGGGTATGTGCAGGATTTGCATTTTTGCTTAAAAAATATTGAATATCCTACCTTACAAGAAGAGAAAGAAAGATATATCACATTTGAAAGGGGAAACCTTTAATTTTTGTTTTGTTTTGTGAAAAGTATATTCGGATATATTGCTATGTGTATAAAGTTCTGATAATACCTCCTGTCCTGATATGTGAAATGTGGACACAGTTTGAGACTACGATCAAAGCTTTTCAAGAAACAGAGAATTAATGAGGGTCACAAAAATGCAAGTTTTTTGGGTTCTGCTCAGAGTGGGCGGTCCGTGCGTCGGGTCATAGGTGATTTTCAGACAGCGTACTAATTTCGCGCCAGCGTTTTCGCGGGGAGAGAAAACTACACTGGGAAAGAAAACACGTAAACTATTGATGAAATAAGATAATATCGCGTATACTTGCAGTATATAATTGGCGTTCATGGTATAATTTTTTTCGATCGTTTGTGTTCTTTCAGGAATACCAAGGTGAGGAAGTGCATCTGGCTGCGTTTTGTTTGTATTTATTTTCGCGCGAGCCGAGGGAGTGACTTGCTAGAAATAAAATAATCGTGGGCAATTGCAAGCTAGATATTTAGATGGTTACCTGTATTAGTTTTGACAGTGTTGGCATTCAAATTTATTTAGTAAGTTGAGAATGTGCGTATATTTGGTATTGATATTTATTCATTTATTTTTGTAGATGGCTAGGTAGCAAATTAGCTACCTAATTTTGTAGCTACCTAGCTAACCAGCTCACTCAAAGTGAATAGGCTGCGCTTGCTAGCCAGCTAACTTGATGGATAACTAGTTTAATAGCAAACTACCTGTATTCTTGACAATTGTCAGCTGTATTGTTTGATGTTATTTTCCAAAAGTGTTGATAAACATCAAACCAAGCATAGTTTACATGAGTTTGCCACGTTGCCTGATGGTATGTTGCAACTAGCTAGTTATTTTCCTTGGTTAGTATTTGTAAACTTCATGTAGTTTTGAGGTCAAAAAAAAAAAAAAAGTTACAGTAATAAGCTTATAGATGTCCAGTCCTGTATGTTGACCAGCTACAAATGCCCTCTACTTAGAAGGGTAGCTAGCTAAGAGGATTGAAGAGTAAGTACAATGATGTTTTGATTCTGGCAGTGATGCCCAGCCTGACCCCTCTTGTACACACATAGCAGTATACACACTGACACGTTCAACTCATAGCGAGTGTGTCAAACAACATGCACATATACAAATAAACAATATTAATCCAAAACTCATACAATAAACTGACAATTATGACTCGTCCACCTCTAGTCTAGTTATCTAGCAACCTAAACAAAAACACCTGTTGAGGCAGAGATGGAACATTGTCACAGTCTCTCTCAGCGTCTGCTGCTGGTATTGGTGAATGTTCTATTTCAGGGTTTTAGGTGGATGGAGAGTTGTGTGGCCTTGGGTTGATTGTTTGTCCCATAAAGATGCATGGAGATGAATAACAGTTTTTTAAATTTCTCCTCTCTGCCTGGCTGACTGGAAGGGTCTGAGGAAGGATGATGGGTAGTGGATTGCCTCCGGTTGGCTGTATGTTAACTCTTGAGTAAAAGTAGCCAGTGTTAAAAACATCCTCTCCCAGCAGGGTTTGAGTGAGGAACCAGGATGATGGCGATGGTGCCTCTGACCAGCTCAGGTCTTCTTCCTCTGCTGGAATCTCTGGAGGATAGCACAGCCGGACAACCTGAGCAGACAGACGCCTACCTCACTATTGCCAAGTAGGTGCTTTAGTTGGACATGCATAGCCTGTAGGATGACGTTGTTATCCTTAGATGCTGATCTAAGGGCATGTTAGGTGTATATTTTTCTGTCTAATGAGCTAAGGTAGGAGGTAGATCTGTGCCTTGGGTAACTCCATATAATATGCCTATTTTTCTATCCTAAATGTACACTAATTCCTGGGACTGATTTGTCTTTTCAGTCGTCTCAGTGGAGATGATGGAAAGCAATTCCTCCCTGCAGTAGTAAAGCACTTTTCACGTTTGGGTAAAACTTTCCAGGTGAGTGCATGCTTTACGTGAAGAATATTTATAAAGCAATACAACTTTTGTTTTAAGCTTTCATTGACTTAGGGATACTGTCATAAATGTCCAGTTATAATGCTATTGTCATGTGTTTATCATGTTGTTTTAGACCCATATCTTCAGTCAGAATGCAGAGCTGTGCCAAGCTGCACTGCAGGCCCTGGGGTTCTGTGTGTTTCATGTCCACGTTGTCTCTGCTATCCCAGGTACTGAACAAGCAGAACTCTTCATAGGTTTACATGGGACTAGTGTAACTGGCACAGATAAGCTTAGTCCTAGACTAAAAAGCAACAATCCAGATTTCCATTGAAACTACTTTGTACTCCAAAAGTAGGCTTAACCCTTTAGACCACAATAGAATTCTAGAATGCAGCTGTAGATTACAGAGAATTTTGAAGATTAAACTCATTTTCTCACATTTCAAACAGACATGGCTCAAAAACAAAGAACAAATGACAATTACAAGTTAACTTAGTTTTAAAGAGCACAACCTCTTCTTTGATATGACCCCACATTCATGTCAATAAGAATAACACTAATTTGATCTTCCAGTGTGTAAAAACACACACTATAAAAAACCGATTAACACTCAACAAAACATAAACCCTAGTGTTTAAATTGTAGTTAATTTGACTAAATTACTCACTCAAATGTACCAAGTATAATATATTGTAAATATTATTTACATACAAATATTTAAAAATATTCCATAATGTGACCAGAGGACAATATTCAGAAAGTATTTCAAAACCCACACAAAGTAGGCTATTTGATCGACAACGATTCTTACTTCTGTAACAATGTAAAAATGCAAACAACTATTCAGAAACTATTTCAACATGTAGATAACCTCTCTCAATAAGATTTAGTACATACCAGGCCTGACACAAAAGGTAGAAATAGTAGCTTACTTTGACAACAATTCAGTGAATGCAACAAGTATTAGATACAGATAAAGAGAGAAGATGCAAAACCCAACTGTTCAGAGATGATTTTAAAAGGTACACAATTTCCCTATAAGATTTGTAGGTCAAATTCATGTCACACTGTCACTTGAGTGTTTGCATTTAGCCTACAACATGCCATGAAACTTCTTGAAGCACGTCCCCATCCTACAAAGTGGCAGGTGTATAAAATTGAGCACACAGTCATGCAATCTCCATAGAGAAACATTGGCAGTAGAATGGTCTTACTGAAGAACTCAGTGACTTTCAACGTGGCACCGCACAGTGATAGGATGTTTGTACAATTTCTGCCCTGCTAGAGCTGTCCCGGTCAACTGTAAGTGCTGTTGTGAAGTGGAAACGTCTAGGAGCAACACCAGATCAGCCGCGAAGTGGTTCGCCACACACGCTCACAGAACGGGACCACTGTAGCGCATAAAAATCATCTGTTCTCGGTTGCCACACTCACTACCGAGTTCCAAACTGCCTCTGGAAGCAACGCCAGCACAAGAACTGTTTGTCGGGATCTTCATGAAATGGGTTTCCATGGCCCAGCAGCTTCACAGAAGCCTAAGATCACCACGCGCAATGCCAAGTGTCTGCTGGAGTGATGTAAAGCTCGCTGCCATTGGACTCTGGAGTAGTGGAAACGCATTCTCTGGAGTGATGAATCACGCTTCACCATCTGGCAGTCTGATGAACTAATCTGGGTTTGGTGGATGCCAGGAGAATGCTACCTGCCCAATGCATAGTGCCAACTGTAAAGTTTGGTGGAGGAGGAATAATGGTCTGGGGCTGTTATTCATGGTGAAGGGAAATCTTAATGCTGCAGCATACAATGACATTCTAGACGATTCTGTGCTTCCAACTTTGTGGCAACAGTTTGGGGAAGGCCCTTTATTGTTTCAGCATGACAATGCCCACGTGCACAAAGAAAGGTCCATACAGAAATGGTTTGTCGATTCAATTGACATTTAGCAGACGCCCTTATCCAGAGCGACTTACAATTAGTGAGTGCATACATTTTTCATACTGGCCCCCCGTGGGATAGGTGTGGAAGAACTTGACTGGCCTGCACAGAGCACTGACCTCAACCCCATCGAACACCTTTGGGATGAATTGGAACGGCGACTGCAAGCTAGGTCTAATCGGCCAACATCAGTGTCCAACCTCACTAATGCTCTTGTGGCTGAATGGAAGCAAGTCCCCGCAGCAATGTTCCAACATCTAGTGGAAAGCCTTCCCAGAAGAGTAGAGGCTAATATAGCAGCAAGGGGGGGAACAACTCCATATTAATGCCCATGATTCTGGAATGAGATGTTCGACAAGCAGGTTTCCACATACTGTTGGTCATGTAGTGTAGCTTGTTGTCTTTGTTGGGAGGGAGTGAGACGATCAAGTGACAGCGTCGGGAGGGATGCACAATGTTGCATCCAATTCTCGTGTTCTTGCCTGACAGACTAACTACAGAGTTCGCCAATGTTAGCTGATTAGTTATGAAGCTGGGACAGTTTCCAAATGAATTGTATCGTTAGAAACCGGACAAAACATGCAACTTGTTAGCTGGCTATTTAAATAAATATCACTGCAACTCTATCATATGAGATCCACTGCGCGGGCATCAACCATAATATGACAGCTAAGCAGTCAAATAATAGGAAAACAAGGCAATGTATAGCCTATGAATATCTGTACCTAGCAAACAAACCATAACCTAAGCCCAACAGATAAACACACATTACTCTGATCTCCATTTCGGAGGCTAGATAGCTGGTTGTCTGTGTGGCTAGCTAGTGAAAGTGACAGCTGAGCTCGACGCTTCGCAAGCTCAGCCCAAATTTACCGCCACAATTTTTCTTGCCTGACAAGCAGCTTGGGCCGTTTCCATATGAATTACATCGGTAGAAACAAGACTACAAGACAAGACTAGCTGAATAGATACAGCTAAACACTGCAACTAGTCCCATGAGACAGAGAACAATCATTCAAGCTCCTGCTCCACCGCTGATGTGCTCGCCTGGCTGTAGCAACCAAGTGATCGTGACAGGATTTGCTAATCTGAGAGCTATTCCCCAAGTTTCACAGCATCAAACATCAACAACACCAAGCATACAGTGGGGAAAAAAAGTATTTGGTCAGCCACCAATTGTGCAAGTTCTCCCACTTAAAAAGATGAGAGAGGCCTGTAATTTTCATCATAGTTACACGTCAACTATGACAGACAAATTGAGAATTTTTTTTCCAGAAAATCACATTGTAGGATTTTTAATGAATTTATTTGCAAATTATGGTGGAAAATAAGTATTTGGTCACCTACAAACAAGCAAGATTTCTGGCTCTCACAGACCTGTAACTTCTTCTTTAAGAGGCTCCTCTGTCCTCCACTCGTTACCTGTATTAATGGCACCTGTTTGAACTTGTTATCAGTATAAAAGACACCTGTCCACAACCTCAAACAGTCACACTCCAAACTCCACTATGGCCAAGACCAAAGAGCTGTCAAAGGACACCAGAAACAAAATTGTAGACCTGCACCAGGCTGGGAAGACTGAATCTGCAATAGGTAAGCAGCTTGGTTTGAAGAAATCAACTGTGGGAGCAATTATTAGGAAATGGAAGACATACAAGACCACTGATAATCTCCCTCGATCTGGGGCTCCACGCAAGATCTCACCCCGTGGGGTCAAAATGATCACAAGAACGGTGAGCAAAAATCCCAGAACCACACGGGGGGACCTAGTGAATGACCTGCAGAGAGCTGGGACCAAAGTAACAAAGCCTACCATCAGTAACACACTACGCCGCCAGGGACTCAAATCCTGCAGTGCCAGACGTGTCCCCCTGCTTAAGCCAGTACATGTCCAGGCCCGTCTGAAGTTTGCTAGAGTGCATTTGGATGATCCAGAAGAGGATTGGGAGAATGTCATATGGTCAGATGAAACCAAAATATAACTTTTTGGTAAAAACTAAACTCGTCGTGTTTGGAGGACAAAGAATGCTGAGTTGCATCCAAAGAACACCATACCTACTGTGAAGCATGGGGGTGGAAACAACACGCTTTGGGGCTGTTTTTCTGCAAAGGGACCAGGACGACTGATCCGTGTAAAGGAAAGAATGAATGGGGCCATGTATCGTGAAATTGAGAGTGAAAACCTTCCATCAGCAAGGGCATTGAAGATGAAACGTGGCTGGGTCTTTCAGCATGACAATGATCCCAAACACACCGCCCGGGCAACGGAGTGGCTTCGTAAGAAGCATTTCAAGGTCCTGGAGTGGCCTAGCCAGTCTCCAGATCTCAACCCCATAGAAAATCTTTGGAGGGAGTTGAAAGGTCCGTGTTGCCCAGCGACAGCCCCAAAACATCACTGCTCTAGAGGAGATCTGCATGGAGGAATGGGCCAAAATACCAGCAACAGTGTGTGAAAACCTTGTGAAGACTTACAGAAAACGTTTGACCTGTGTCATTGCCAACAAAGGGTATATAACAAAGTATTGAGAAACTTTTGTTATTGACCAAATACTTATTTTCCACCATAATTTGCAAATAAATTCATAAAAAATCCTACAATGTGATTTTCTGGAATTTTTTTTCTCATTTTGTCTGTCATAGTTGACGTGTACCTATGATGAAAATTACAGGCCTCTCTCATCTTTTTAAGTGGGAGAACTTGCACAATTGGTGGCTGACTAAATACTTTTTTTCCCCACTGTAGCTATATCTGCTGTTTTACTTATTTCACTCACCTCGACAGCATCGCTTTCAAAGTGCAAGGACGTGTCTGAATCCGTATCACCAAACAACATAGATACAGCCTCTTCCACAGTGAAAGTTTGGCTGCTTCGGTGCCATCATTTTTAGTAATTAAGTGATTTTTTTTAAATTTTAAAAGTCAAATGACAGCATACCCTGTTTCTGGTTGATGACGACAGCCACGCTAATACGACACCGGGTTCTTAGCGAGTCAATTTTGCGAAATTGACAGATATTCTTCTTACAAAAACAAGGCCGTTCGTGGCCGCTATAGTAATTGAAAGAAAGGCTGTTGACGGCCACTATGGGTTGTAAAGGGTTATTAATCTGTGTTCTGGAAACAAGCCTGTAATGTATAAGAATGAAGATAATGTGATTTGTAATCCTCCTTTACGCTCCCTTTTTCCCCAGATAATTTTGCAGAAGAGCTATTGTCAGCACTTTCCTCTCTGGTGGTGAAGTCCACAGACAAGAACACATGCACACGAGCTTTATGGGTAATCTCCAAGCAGAACTTCCCTCCAGAGGTGGTGGCCAATAAGGTGCCAGAGATCCTGAGGGCCCTGGAGTGTGTGCGGACGAGAGAAGACATCCAGTCTGTACTTATGGAGCACGAGTCGCTGAATGTTGTCATAAGGTAAACAAACCCACCCACTCATGTACTCTCTTACCTCTTATTCAATAGCTTTGGTTGGGTATATGACCATCATTTTGGAATGCACAATTTAATGGTTCAGTTTGATAACCGTGACACTAAGCTGATGCATGTTATAGGAATCTACCTTGCTCAACATTCTGTCTCTGTTTTGGCTAGTGTTCAAGCTCTCTGGGCTGGAAAAGACTGTCCTGACTTTATTTCAATGATCATCAGCGTTTTCTCTGTCATGACACACACTCTCTGTGGTCAGTTTGCTGGAGCAGGCCCCAGCCCAGATGGGTGAGGTTGCAGTGCAGTGGGCCAAGCTGGTCATCCCCCTGGTGGTCCACTCAGCCTCTAAGGTGCGCCTGCGGGCGGCAGCAGCCCTGGAGATGGGCCTGCCTCTACTTCTGAAGAAACAGAAGGAGGTGGCTGCCATCGTAGAACCTATCATGTCCTCAGTGAGTCTCTGTCAATGTTTCTAGGCCAGGATACTGTCAAATCACTTAGTGACAACTGCCGATGTAAAAATTGCGTTAGAAATGCATTTGATTGAAATTGAAGTTTTGCAAATGCAGCATATCAAACGCAGCATGTTTGATTCAGATTTCTGCACATTCTGACAACGCTTATCTTGTTTCACTCCAGAAACTCATCCCAGAGCTCCAGAAACTGTTCTCCACGAAGAACGAGACCAACGTGCTGAAACTCTGGCCGTTATTTGTCAGGCTCCTGGGGAAGGTAAGGCTTGGTCATTCTTTTTGGTTTGAAACCTAGCCGATTTACTACTTATTCGCTACTTATCTACTACGTAATGGTTAGGGAGTGAATTAGGCAGTACATGTAATGATCTGCTTGGCTCTTCAGAAGTTGTATTGAAACACTGAATTGTGTTCCATCCCACAGCTGCTCCATAGAGGTGGTCCCTTCATCAACTCCCTGCTTGGCCTGGAGGAACTGGGCTTCCGTAGCTCCTCCCCCAACATCAAGAAGATCGCCTTCATCGCCTGGAAGAGCCTCATTGACAACTTCGCGCTCAACCCAGGTGGGTAACACACAAGACAACATGCTTTGACTTAGTCCAGTTTTTATTGAGTTGCCGCTTTTTAGACTTTAGTTTCATCAGTAGTCCCGTGTAGCTCAGTTGGTAGAGCATGGCGTTTGCAACGCCAGGGTTGTGGGTTCGTTTCCCACGGGGGACCAGTATGAAAAAAATAATGTAAAAAATGTATGCACTCACTAACTGTAAGTCGCTCTGGATAAGAGCGTCTGCTAAATTACTAAAATGTAAAAATCAGTAGTTTCTCTTTAGAATTTATTTTAATGGAAGTTTCTATGACGTGGTTTGAAAGATACTCTTGTAATCATCCATTACACTGAGTCCTCACACATTATTTTCTATGGAGACCATGTGCTAAGAGACTTGATTCTCACTGTTGAGTTAGGAAGTTTATTAAAATATTACTCCTTAAACGGAATACAATGACGAGCACTCAATAACAGTTGAACATGTTACACTTTATGTGTTAGGAGTTTAGGGTAGTTCTATTCCAGGGGTCTCCAACCTTTTCAAGTATGAGAGCTACTTGTAAATTATGAAACGTCACGCGCTACTCATTAATTTTTTCCTAGTTTAGGATTTTTTCAGATGACTCTCAAAATTAGAATTATTCATAGACAAACAATGACATTTGATGTTCTGAGTCCAATGGTTACATCACATCAGAAGACAATTTTTGGGGGTTCGGATTTTGTTGTCTAATACCCCTTTAATTGCGCATTTTGCCAGTGATGTTTTTGCTGCTGCATATGTCATGACAGAGTTTGCAAAACAAAAGCCCACCCAATTTATATAAATAATCATGATATAATTCTGCCAGTTAAGCCTACTTTGCAGTTAACTTTTAATTGAGAAAGTTTGGGGGAAAGTCTGTCTACCCAGAAGAAAGTTATCATGATCGCTAACTGGTTAAACAAAGTGGTTAAACAAAGTGAATGATAGACAAACGCGCGCACCACACAGACATACAGGGGCAATATTGCTGGAAAATAATTGGCAGATAATTTGTCTTAAGACAATTGTGGCTAGCAAGGGGTGGGATTATGTGGATTTGATTGGATAATATGTGAGCTTGAAGTGTTTGATACTTGTGAGATTTGTTTGACAGTTTGCGGTGGAACGCGTGAAAAATACATGCATTTTCAGAATTGTTTAGCGAGCTACTCATAGGTGGGCTGCGATCGACCTGTTGGAGACCCCCTGTTCTATACGGACTGTAACTGTCTGCCTGTCTCCTCTGTACTGTAGAGATCCTGTGCAGTGCCAAGCGTCTAAAGCTGCTGATGCAGCCCCTCAGCTCCATCCAGGTGAGGACAGAGGCCCTCCTGCTCACCAAGCTGGAGGTCTGGTGGTACCTGGTGGTCAAACTGGGAGCCAACCTGCCCACACACTTTGAACAGGTACGGTTTGTGTTTTACCTACTGTTTATATACATGTTTATACTGCCCACTTTGAACAGGTGCAACAAGCATTTCATCTTTATACTGGAATACCATAACAACCTGATAATGTGTTACGACTCGGAGCAGGATTTGTTACTGGGGGAATTAAGAGATTACATGAGATTAGATTCAGGTTTTCTTTTATCTCTGACGTTTGCGTTCAAGGTATTCATTGCCCTTAGTTTTAATCACGATTGTGGTTTTGGGAATGAATGTGTTACTCTTGTTGACTAATAGTCTGTTGTCAGGTTGGTGTACCTCTCCTCCAGTGCACCCTGGGCCCTGACTCGGCCTTCCCAGCCACTCCTGCTAGGAGCTCCAGCCAGTGCAGTGCTGTGGGGACCACTACTCCTAAAACTGGTACAGTCTCACTCTGACTGCCCTCATCTACCTTCTATTGACTAGTACTGGCAAATATCGTCTGCTGCGCATTAGCTGTTTTGCTTTCGATTTGCATGCGTGACTTGCCGATATGTACTTGTATTTACCTAGTAGCATATAGAACAGCATCACTTAATATTCTCATGTAGGATATACCTGAAATGTGCCACCAGGAATTGTCTTGTGGAAACAGTGGTCATTGGATGTAAAACATAATAATAAAAATCCCAACATATATTACTCTTAGATTAGATTAATACGTCATTGATTAATCACTCTTTGTTTCCTCCCGCCCCACCAGGTTCCGCAGCATTCTCTAGCACTGCGGTGCCCCGTCTGAACCTGAACACCAGTGTGGTGGTGGCCCAAGCCTATCCCTCCATCCAGCTGCTGGGACTAGAGATGTTGTTGCACTACTTCCTGGGGCCAGAGGTCACAACCGCCGCAGCCAAGAACAAGCTGACACTCAGCCTGGGTGAGAGGAAAAGGAGAGGGAGGGGGTTAGAACTGCTACCATATAAATATAATTGAATATAGAAATAGAATGAATAGAATGATATTTCTATGGTTGCTACCACAGTTTTATTTGCTACTCTCAGTGCTCAGTGGCGCTGTTTCTAAATTCTTTGTTCTTTGAACCTGTGAGTGTATAACTAATTTTAATGAATGCCTGTGTTACCGTGGGATGACACACACACATTACCCATGTGCAATGCCTGTAAAGTAAACTTTGTGTCAGATAAAAATAGTTTGAGTTGGGACCTGCTTGCCTGTTTCTGACTTGACTGACCCTCTTTGTTTTCTCAGAACCTATTACTCACCCCTTCCTGTCCAGCCCCTCCTCCTTCACCAAGCACGCCTCGCTGCTAATCGCTGCTGTCTGTGACAGCTTCATCTGCATCGGCAAAGACGCTCCAGGTACCTACCTGCCCTCAAGTAACTCACTGCAACTGACATTAGCATAGGCTCAATGACAGCCATAATGGCTCTGACGGCCATTTTGTCTCCTGTACAGTAGAGTACCGATGGGATAAAAAAAATTATAGTTATTTTGGACGCTATTATATCTGTACTTTGACAAGTGTCGATTTGTAATTATTAGATTTTTTGCTGGGTAGCATTAGCATCCCCCCCCAAAAAATGGTGAGCCAACATGTTTTCAGCACTTTTTCCCCATGTCTCTCTGCTAAGAACACCTTCCTAATATTGAGTTGCAACCCCCCCCCCCTTCTCACAGTTGTCAAGTTGGCTGGATGTCCTTTGGGTGGACCATTCTTGATACACACAGGAAACTGTTGAGCGTGAAAAACCCAGAATCTTGAGAATCGCAATACATATCGCATCGGCACCTAATTATGGTGATAATATTGTGTTGTGAGGTCCCTGGCAATTCCAACCCTACAGTAGAGCCATTGTATGTAGTCTCAAAGACTGTTTCAAAGCCAGCCTCAGTGTATAGCTGGTTCTTCCTCTGCCAGGGAGAGGGTATAACTAATCTATGGCCCAGTTAGGAAAAATGTAGGCGGAACTTCCTTCCACAATGAATGCTATTCAGCTGGCCTTCCTCCAAGAGCAATCAGATCTGATGTAAAAAGATCTGATGTGATTGGTCAAAATACCAATTAGTGGGAAAAAAATATCAGAATTGGGCTGCCTGTGTAAGTGCTCGCTCCATAAAGGGGATAGGATAGCTTGACTTGCTGCCGTAGAAGGGCTCCTCACATGGACTAGTGATTGGAAACAGCCTCAGAGTCACTGCCTGGGGGTAGACGGGAGTTGGAAGGAATGATTGTGTGTCTGTAGGAGTGCATGCGTGGGGGGTTCAATGACTGTGCTACTTAATGTGTGGTGACTCGCCTGTTCTCGATCTATCCCCTGCAGATGCCTTGCTTACCCTTATATGGAAGAACCTCGTCAGTTTCGTAAGCACAACGATTGATGCTGGTGAGTGCCAGGGTCCAACCACATCAGATTGGAGTTATAGAGAAAATAACCCCTATCATGATGTAGGCCTGCAGTTTATCCAGGAAGCTCTGTAATCTCACTCATTCATGAGCTAGTTTCAGCCTGCTATAGCAGTGTTTCCCAAACGTCTCCTCGTTACCCCCAACCGTTCCACTTTATGTATTGCAGTACTCCCAACTAATGAAATGCATGGTGATTAGGTGACCAGGAGAGCCACTAATTGTGCTATTACTGGAATACTTCAAGTAAGTGGAACGGCTGGAGAGGTTTGGGAAACATTGCTCCATAGGAATGATAGACCCCCATGCTGCGCGCCTCACTCTGCTTGGATGAGTAATGCCATAAAGTTTAACCTCACTCCATCTTCATTTAGTTGGCTAATAATGGTAAATGTTCTGTTCTGTGGCTGCTGCTCTGTTGGACTGGCCCTTCCAGCCATGGGGTCAGCCCTGCGGCCCCACACAGAGTACCACAGCTGGGCCTGAGTCCTGTTTCTCAGGGGGGAGAGCAGAGACCCCGGCCTCCCTCCACCCCAGGCCCAACCCCACTGTCATCAGTTTAAGTCTGAGCGGACATCAGACCTTCGGGTCTGGAACCGCTGTGACGAGGAATGAAATCTGAGGGGCCAGACCCCAGTGATGACCTTCTTGTGTCCTTTCTCCTTGCCTCTTTCTCAAAATGTAAATTCAAGGTCCCTCCCCTTGGACCTTGCCAATGTGTTTTGAGAAGGTGGTGAGGAAAGACAAATGGAGATCCACCCCTAGTATGTTGTCTTTGTTTGTGTCTCATCCTGTCCCTTGTACTTGTGTTAATGTGACAGCTGGCCATAAGAAGGAAAGGCAGGGCTCTGAGGTACTGACCCTACTGCTACAGGCTCTACAGAGCATCATCTCCTCAGAAGCCCTCCCTGCACACAGGGCTCTGGTAAGACCTGCCTCTACCGCTGTACTACACCTACTCTTATTCTACTAAACCTCCAATCAGGACTGGTCTTCTGGTAGCCCATGTTAGTGGAAACTAAAAGCTAAAGTCTTACTAACTTCTGTAAATGAGTCTGTTTTAGCCCATGAGTTTTTGATAAGTGTAAAATGTCAGTGGACCATCTTGAATGTAGATGTCCTACATATCTCTCAATGCCCTAAAACTCCACTTTGCTTGTAAATAATGCTTTCAGTATATGATTTTCTTACTTCCTCTATCAAGAGTCTGCTGGAATTGACAGTGAAGGGTATCCCTCAGCGGGTACTTGGATCTGCCTCTTACCAAGTGGGCAAAATGGATGTACTGAATGTGAGTTTCTACCTCTTCTCTTTCTGTTCAGCTGTATGCAGGGTGTATATGATTATGCTGTTGACACAGATCTAGGAACCACTGGGAAAGGGACCATGGAAGCAACACAGTTTCCTTACGTTATAGTTACGTAACGCATAATAAATGTAAATGCAATATATGTCCATCCAGTTGCTTCCTGCTAGCTCTGGCTCCTTCCTTTGTTGCACACAATCTTAAATCTGACCCATAAAAGCTGAACTATAGAAGGTTCCCTGTGACTGTAGACTCCTATGACGCCATAGGGATGATAACCCTGTGACCTGCTCTATAAAGAAGTCTTCTCTAGATCAGTGTAAATGAACATCCTGCAGTTTCTTTGATATGGCAGCCAAAGGGCTCTTAGCAAATCTCTGGGGTAGTGTTGTGAATTCTGTGTGTGTTCCTGTGTGTGGTGTGGTTACATTGTTGTCTCCTCTGTCTCTGCCCCAGGGAACCCCAGCTCTGTTCCTGATTCACCTGTTCTACAACCGCAGTCTGGTGGCAGGGATCGTAGAGGATGAGAGGTGGGTTTCCCCCTAACTGAAGTCTCTTCCATTCCCCTGTCTTTCCATAAACAAATATAGAAACCACATGTATTTTTCCGGTCTTATTTTAGTTGTATCGGTCTCTGCTCCCACACAGGTTCTTCCTGTGTTTTGAGACATTGGTGAGCTGTGGTCTGTCCGGCCCCACATCCCCCCTGGCGTTTGGGGAGGCAGTCCTAGGGGTGGTGGGGCGCAGCGCGGGGACTCTCGGGAACAAGGAACAGCTTTGGAGGATGTGGAGCGTGGTGGTCAACCCACTGACTGACACCATCACACAGGTTAGAAAGGGACACACCATATAACTGACATCTGTATATGTACTATAACCGCACTGAATGTGACGCTTGTGTGTGTTTAGATGCAAGAACAATTTCAACACGGGGTCACCTTAAACTACTATTATTATATTTCACCTACGTGTTGCATAGATGGAGATGGCAGTGGAGATTGGTTTAATAAGATTTTGCTCCCTCCTTGTCACAGAGCAATGAGGTGAACCAAGGAGATGCTCTGGAGCACAACTTCAGTGCTGTGCACACTGCCCTGATGTTCCCCATCACACACCTGCTACCTGGCAAGGTCCTGCCACAGGTGAGTCTGAGATGGCATACTGTATCTAGACCTGCCAACCTGCACGCATTTTGCGTACCATGCATGCAATTTGAGGTCAATGTATGCTGGTATGAAAAACAACCCTTAAATACACAACAATGGGCTTCTAGTTGGCACATTGTGGTTTTTGACAACCGTCTGAAGTTGGAGCTGAGCCAATTAGAGATATTGGGCGAGGAGAAAAAATCTCTAGCTCTCCGCTCCGGCCCGCCCCCCCGTAGTCGTAGTACTATTTTCCTCCCTTGAGCTGGATGGCAGTTCTCCACTCCGTTGATACCACTGATGTGTGAGGAAAAGTGGTAGGGAAAATGGAGAACGAACTGTTTGCCAAATACATGTTCCAAAATTGTATGTGTTGGTCAAGCACATAACCACTTATTTCGTAGTTGGTTCCTTAGCTAAGGTGTCATTACGACAAAGGTAGTTAGCTACAGCGTTTAGTCAACTAAGCGAGGACACTTTCTTGCACGCACATGCTTTGATCTTCACAACGTTAGTATGAGCAAGTGCATTGACGAGCAGAAACGTTAATGTCCTTCACAGAAAGTTGTTACTGTTCAAGATTAGTTGGCCTATTAATCAGTTCTTGATCTGTCCTCTTAATATAGCTGTAGGCATATGTCAACAGTAGGCTGCGGATGTGATAATAGTCAGTTCACCCATGACAAGGCATGTTGAATGAACGGTAGCCTAGAACACAGACCTAACTGGATGGATGAGGTCAGGGATGGAGATCTGAAACAAGCTCATATAGGCCTTGTTCAGTTGTTTCATATTGCAAATAGCCAACAGTAAGCTAGACCACTACAACATTCAGAAGAAGCCAGTTTACATTTTCACTAGACTATCCACATAGACACCTGTTAATTAGAATAATCATTACCCCTACATTTAACCTAGAAAAATGTGGAAGTGTCATTGAGACCACCTCAATTTCCTTTAGCATCAAACACATGTTGGGTACATCGTTTTATATAATGGAAGACTTTAGGTTTCAGGAAATGGCAGTTACAGGTTTTTCAAAAAAGCAAAATGCTCCAACTTCCTGAGGGGGAAGTTGACTGACCCCCTTCCCGGCCTCCCCCCTACCCAACCTTAGGCCTACATCAGCATTTGCCTATGATTTGAGCAGTGTGGGTGTCACACGCGCGCCATTGTGGGGTCCGCGGGTCAGGGGGGGGGGGTGTGAGAGAAATTAACATGTAACATGTTTACCTGCTTTGTTTAATATTAATAGTTAACAATTATAAACTGTTCTACTAATGCTGTGTTTTTGTAAAGGGATGGTTTCTACTCCAGCTCCCTGCAGCTAGTATAGGCATGTGGTCAAGGACATGGAGTTTTACTCGAGATAGGGGTATCTGGAGCTGACAACTGATTTGGGGATGGCTAGGTGATAAAACCAACAGCCACATTCCATTTCATGATTAATGGCGTGTGAGAGGGAGATGTCTCTGGTCTGACTGAGCCTGCATTTTCATAGACTGAATTGGTGTTTGTGTAATGTAAGGTACCAGGGAGAGATGGCTCGGGTATGGATAATGTTGATAAGAACCTTGTCTTGGGGGCCAAACCCTGATTTCCATACAATGAGAACAGTCTTCACCGCAGATATGGTGTGCTGTGAATTATTCATTTATTTCATACAAATCCTAACCTTTTGACTCATTCCACACATCTGCTGTTTCATGTAGACTGAGAGGGTGTATCTTTGCTATGAAAGATCTTTGTATTGTTGGGTTGACCAGCCTCACTTACTACCTTATTAATACTCGTAAAAATTATTCAAAGTTGGCAGGTCTGCATGTCTTTTAAAAGATCCTGCTATAGGATTCTCCAATAAACTACAATTAATCTATTGAGTGCTTTGCTCTAATTTCAATAATTTCAAATGAAGTGCCTTACTGTCAACGTGAACTGAGTGGATCAGTTTGAGAAAGGCGAGGAGGAGCAGAATCTCTAATCTAATAATGAGGATGGGATGCAGGGTGATTTGAAGATATGTGATTCTGCGTTGTTCCACTGCAATGTGGTCAATCTCAAACATGCTTTTATGTCACTGTAGATGACTCAGAAGTCCATGCTGGGTACGTGGTCCAGGCTGTATAAGGTGTTTGCCCGCTGCTCTGCCCTGGTGGCCACGGCCGAGGAGAATGTCTGCTGTGGGGAGCTGTGTGTCAAGATGGCTGCCATATTGGACAGAAAGGCCCTGAAGGTAAGCGGGAGGGGACCACTGCACTGTACCCAACACCCAACAGTTATCTAATTTACCAGAATTGTTAGCCTTTTGAATAATACTGCGGTACAATAGCTTATTGTTCAGATTCATTGATCGTTCCATGCCCATTTGTTTATTCTCCAGGTTCCATCAACGTTGGATGCGGTTGCTAACATCCTCCTGGTCATCGCTGAGAGTGCAGACTTCTCTCCCTACACACCACAGTTTCAGCAGAAGATGAAATGTAAGATGCTTTTAGAACCGTTTTAACCAGAAATGTAAGGTGTTTTAACCACACATGCAAGGTGTTTTTTGTTTTGTTTTGTTTTTACTCCTCGATTGGCGTGATGTTTGCTTACCCTCCCCTCGTCCCTTCCAGCTCCCCACACCCCTCTAACCTGGGTGCGTAAGAAAAGCAAGGCGCTGGGGAACCTGTCTACCTTCCATACCCTGCTGGTCCAATCCCTAGAGACCTTCAATGCCCTGGAGGCCCCTGAGACTGTCCCTGATGGTACAGGCCTGGCCCTGGTCTCCATCCTCTCTACCCTGTTCTCTAATCTGGCCCTGGCTACAGCCATCCAGGAGGCCCTGGCCTCTCTCACACAGCCCCTTGCAGCCCTCTATGAACAGGCTGGTAGGACTCCAAATGAGCAGCTGAAATTTACCTCAAGTCTTGGAGCAAAGGTGTGTTGAAATGTTTTCCATTTTCTGTCTTTGTCTGTACTGAAATGCATCTCTATATAAACTGTTGTATTAATGTTATATACTGAACAAAAATATAAATGCAACAATTTCAACGATTTTACTGAGTTACAGTTCATATAAGGAAATCGATCAATTGAAATAAATTAATTAGGCCCTAATCTATGGGATTAGGGGGCGCAGCCATGTGAGGCCATAGGCCCACCCACTTGGCAGCCAGGCCCAGCCAATCAGAAGGAGGTTTTCCACACAAAAGGGCTTTATTACAGACAGAAATACTCCTCAGTTTCATCAATTGTCCGGGTGGCTGGTCTCAGACGATCCCGCAGGTGAAGAAGCCGTATGTAGAGGGCGTGGTTACACATGGTCTGCGGTTGTGGACATACTGCCAAATTCTCTAAAACGACATTATGGTAGAGAAATTAACATTAAATTCTCTGGCAACAGCTCTGATGGACATTCCTGCTGTCAGCATGCCAATTGCACGCTCCCTCAACTTGAGACATCTGTGGCATTGTGTTGTGTGACAAAACTGCACATTTTAGAATGGCCTTTTACGCTTTCTGCGAATGGAAAATTTCTGGGATCTTTTATTTCAGCTCATGAAACATGGGACCAACACTTTACATGTTGCGTTTATATTTTTGTTCAGTTTATAAGTAATGGCTACTCTTTCTTTGCATGCTTCATATCTTTAACCGATCCCCTGTGTCTGGGTGGTAGTCTCACTATAAGTGTGTTCTTTCCCTGCAGCTGGAGAAGCTCCTGAGTGATGTCTTGGGGTGCCTGCAGACCCGTTCAGCCCTGGCCTATGATGATGAGCTGCTGTCCCTGCTGTCCCCCCTGCTCTGTGTCCTCTTCCTCCACCGGCGCAAGCAGGTCCGCTCCCTAGCTACACAGTTCTGGAATGCAACCTTCGCCAACACTCTGGTCCTCGTCTATCCAGAGGAACTCAAGTAAGAATCTGTTTGGACATTAAGATGAGCCATATTATATTTATGGGGCAATTTCCCAGACCTAGTTTAGCCTACTCCTGGACCAATAGCATGTTCAGTGGAGAATCTCCATTTAAAACTGCTTTGAAGTCCAGCAATGCATTTAATCAGGGTCCTGAAAACTGGCCCTAAACCGACCCTAAAAGGTTTTCATGTTTGCTAATGTTTGTTTTTTCCAGGCCGGTTTTGAGCCAGGTGAAGCAGAACACTCCTATCCTTCTACCTGGCTTTCAGTCTGTTGAAGTTCCAGATGAGCTCAGTGGACAGTACTCGGTGAGGGTTTTCCCTGTTGAATAAGTAAAATCAGAGCAGGTTTCATATGAATGGTATAATAATCCCTGGATTATGTTCTGTGTGTGCAGAGTGAGAGCTCTCAGCTGGAGACCAAACTGAGTGGAGTACAGGTCACTCCTGGGGTGAAGAGAGACTCTCTACTGCCCAGGGCTGGGGAGATGAAGGACAGGAACTCCAAGACCTCTACCAAGCCCGTCTCTGTAAGGGCTGCTTTTACCCAGTTATTTCCTGTGTATGAATTCCATTTCAATTCCCCACATTGAGGAAAAATGGAATTGACTCAAATGAAATGGAATTATTTATTCTCCGAACCCCAAAACCAAATCTTGTGCTAGGCAGCTTTCATATTATTATGAAGGCTGTCAAAACAGAGTAAGTTGTCTCTATTGCCACCATTTGCCATCAGCATCATATTGGAGCTGACTTTTATACTCTCCCCATCAGACGAAGCTTGACTTTGGTTCTCACAAGCTGCCTCGTAGAGAGGAACTGGAGGAGCAGGCCTCGATAGACTTTGTGTTCATCCCCCCTGAGACCAAGGAGAGAGTCCTCACTGAGCACCAGAAAGAGGTCAAGAGAACCAAAAGGTCAGTTTCGGGCAAATCAACTTTGTTAATTTACTGAATCTTTATTTAACCAGGAAGTCTCTACGTCCTATCTCTTTTTTATTTTAGCCTTATTTAGACAAATCAATGAAAAGTTATAGAAATGCTTACATTTTCTCACTGTATAATGCTTTTGTATGGGTTTTATTTGAAAGGGTTGACATCCCTGCCATGTACAACAACCTGGATGCTTCCCTTGATACCACAGTCTTCACCCAGTACACACAGAGTCAGGAGGAATCACTGTAAGTAGTTGGCTGCTGCCGTCACGCTGTATAACACTAATCTATCAAGAAAGACTGCTTTGCCTGGGACCCAATGGTTAAAACATCCATTTCTTTTTCAGGGACAAATTGCCAGCAGATGAGCAAGCTGAAGATGCCGCTAAAGATGAGGGTAAATCAGAGGTAAAGAGAATCTAACAACAGAAGTTATTCATTGTTACATTTACCCCCTGAGGTCTGAATTATGGCATTGTTTGCCCTGATAAGCTGTTTTCATTTAAATTAAAACATATAGATGCCTTCAAAGCCAAAAGCCTTTTTCCTCAAATGAAAGTGAAAATACAAATGGATAAAATGTCTCTGCATTCTTTTCTACACAGGATCCAGAGGAAAACATGGAAATGGAGGATGAAGCTTCTGAGGTTTTGGCAAAAGACACCCAGGAATATATCAGTCCAACCAATGAGCCGGCAGAACCGGCAATGGAAGAGGAGCCTGCTGAGGAAGTACTTTCTGATTCTGCAGACGTTTCCATGGAGGATGCCAACGAAGTCGTTCCATTGCAGGTCTCAGATGTTGCCATGGAGTCTAGAGAAGTGGGCACCAGCCCAAATGTTTCTGGCGGCTCTGATATGATCTCAGGGACGCCTCAGAAACACAACAGTCGCCGCCAGTCCTTCATCACTCTGGAGAAGTATGCAGAGGGGAAGCCTGCTAGTCCTGCCAGCGTGGTGAAGTTTACAGGCCCCCTCACCAGGACCACTAACAGCCAGGAGCCTGCCTCTCAGGAACCAGAGGCTGAGGCTGACACAGACCGACAGGACTCGCTGGAGACTAAAAAAGCAAGACATAAAAGCTCCAGGAATGAGTCTTTCCTAAAGGAGGGAGAGGAACCTGAACCTTCAGAAAACAAAAAGGAATCTGAGGTTAGAGATACTCGCTGAGAAACGACCAAGTGAAACCACAGAGGACGACGTCATCCCAGACACCCAGACTCAGGTGGAAGTACTGAATGAAGTTCCAGTTCCTGCAGGTGAAGAAGTAATGGTAAATAACAGTCAGGAAGAAGAGGAATCTAAAGTTCTTCTGGAAGATTCTCCCAGCTCCCAGTCCACTCTAAGCCAAGGTGAACCAAGGCGGTCCGGACGACAGAGAAGTAGGCCACTGAGACCAGGAGAGGATGCAGAGGAACGAGATCATATAGACAAACTGAGGAAGAAGTCTCAACCCGGAGAGGAGGCGAGTCAAACTGATTCACCAAAGACTGCACCCTCTCCTGCCAGTCAAACTGATAGTCAGTCACAATGTAGAGCCAGCAGGAGAAGTAAGCTGGCTGTGGAGGAGGACGGTGGAAAAGACAAGCTGAGAAAGAGAAGTCACAAGGAGGTGAGTGAGTCGAGCCAATCAAATTCACAGGTTGCCACACCTTCACCTGCTGGTGATAGCAACAGGCAATCACAGGGTAGGAGGAGCAACAAATTGGTCAGGGAATCAGAGGAGCTGGTCGAAGACAAACGGAAGAGGAGAGGTGTTGCAGAGGAAGAGCTCAGTCAAAGTGACTCCCTAACGGACACTGCCTCTGATAATGATAGACTATCACAGAGTAGACGTAGTCAGAGGAGTAAGCTGGCTGTGGAAGTAGAGGATGATGGCAGTCAGAAACAAAGGGGTAGTCAGGCTCAGAAGGAGAAGCCAAGCCAAACAGATTCACATGTAGCCACACCATCTCAACTAGAGAGTCAGTCACAGGGTAGAGCAAGCAGGAGCAAGGCCGTCAGTGATTCGGAGGAGTTTGATCTCCTAGACAAGGTTGAAAAGCAGGATCCTACTGAGGAGGAGCAAAGCCAAAGTGATTCTCAGATGGCCACACCATCTCCTGCTGCACAAACAGGATATAGCCAATCACAGGGTAGATCAAGCAGGAGGGGTAAATTGGTCATAGAGTCCGAAGAACAGGGTAAAGACAAACAGAAGAGGAGAGTTGGCACGGAAAGCACACTCCGTCAAATTGACTCAAAGATCACCACACCTTCAGCCACTCCAAAAGACAGCCAGTCACAGGGTAGAGCAAGCAGGAAAAGCAAGGTGCCCCTCGAAGTGGCTGAGTTGGAGGACAAAACAAGTCCAAATGTGGCCACTGATTCAGCAGCAGCACCTGAGATGAGCCAGACTGATTCTCAGGTTACTCCTTCCGCCACCAGCCAAACAGCCAGCCAGCCGAGGCCCAGAGGCAGACCCAGTAAGAGAAGCAAGTTAGAGGAACAGGTTGAAGGCCAGCAGCAGCCCTACCATAGAGACTGAGAGCTCCCAGGTGGCAGACCAGGCTGGAACACAGGAATCCCCACAAGAAAGCAAAAGGACTACGAGACGGAGAGCTTCCCAGGGCTTACTGTCCTCCAACGTGGAGAACTCTGAGTCACACACTTCAGAGACCCGGGAGGATGCCCAGAAACCCAAGAAGAGAGGCAGGAAGCCCAAATCCACTGAAGCTCTTCCAAGCCCACTTGCTACTGTCGGATCAGGAGACCCAGGGGCTTACCAAGAGATCCCAATGGATAGTTCTGAATCTTCTCTAAAGTCTGAATCAAAAAAGTCAGACTCGCAAAACCCATGGAGTGAGGCCTTAGAAGTTAAGATTCCACAGGATGTGGATGAAACCATTAAAACGATCAACTCCCTTAAACCTGAAGTGGAAGTTCTGAAACTTCCTCTAATAACAAAGAACGATATGGGGCAGAGGGAGGCTGACACTGAGATGGTAGATATGGAGGGTGGTGTGGTTGACCCTGTTGTTCCAGACAAGGCTGAGCATGAGAATACTAAGCCGCCTTCTCAACAGATCGACTCTTCATTAAAACCTGATCTAGAACAACTGAAGAGTCTGCCTTTGTGCATATCCCCACGGAAGAAGGAACGTGGACATAAACTTTCAGAAAGCATATCTAACTTTGACACTGTCTCCTCTCAGGAGGGTGACCTTGGGTGTGAAGGGCCAACACGGCTCCAAAATAAGCTGCTCACTGACTCTGAGCAGGCCAACTCTCCCGTGTCTTCCGCTGAAGGAAATGCAGTATCAGGATATGACAGTGTATTCCTTGAACCAAACAAACTACGTACCCCTCCCATCTCCAATGGACTCCCCACAGATACTTCACCAAGCGAAGCTGCGGAGGAGAAACTGAGTCTTCAGGTTTCTGAGTCTTCAGAGGAGAAGGTTGTAGACGTGCCTAAGCCTGTAACTGTGTCCAGTGAGGAGGTGACAGAGGAGCAGATGGGAGAAGACAAGGAGAACCGACATCCAGAGTCTACTAACAATGTTCTAGAGGACCAACCAGAAGAGGTAGTTTTCATGTCTATTGTGCAAACCCAACCAGAGGGTTTCAATGCCTTAGATGAGGAGCAACAGGAGGAGCAGTACACATGTATTAAAGAAGGCCAGCCAGAGTCTGACAACACCTCTACTAGGACCAGAGAAAACGACACCGAGCCTCAGGCGGACGACGTTCAAGATATCACTCCTCTCCAAGAGAGGGCGAAAATGGATACGGTTCCAGGCCTTGAGTGTGAAGAAGAGGATGGTGAAGAAACTCAGATAGACAATAACGACCTAGATCTACGTCCTCTAGACTCTGTTGCCCCTCTGACCTTCGACACTCGCGAAGCACCAGTGCCTCTACATCATCCAAGTACCTCTAAAGACGTGTTGTACCAAGACTCCCCTCCCAAGCAGAAGGGTTTGGAGGCTATGATGGGGCTGGAGGTGGGCCAGAGCCCCAGCAGGATCAGGGGGGTGTGGACCCCCTCAGCCTCCCCCTCCACCTCTATACTGAAGAAAGGACCGAAAAGACCAATAGAAGAGGAGAGTCCTTCACCTTTCACTAAGGTAACATGATCCGGTGTACTTAATCTATGAAGATTTACACATCATACTATGGTTGCATTTTTTATGATACGTTTATGCATTATTAGAATTCTCTGCATTCCACTAAATCAGTATTAATTGAAAATTACATTCGGTTGAAGAGAATCCTTGATGTATCTAGAATGGCATTAGCAAGTTCTGAAAACGGTGTTAAATTAATCTATATTTTACAGTCTCGACGAGTATCATTTGCTGACCCAATCCAACACCAGGAGCTGGCAGATGACATTGACCGTCGCAGCCCTATCATCCGATCCAGCTCCCCAAGAGCCAAAACTGCCAGCAGCAGCATCCCTCAGCCTAAGGTACATGATCCACTAGTGATGTGTAATAAATGCAATTTTATATACTTTGCACAAAATCATTATAGGCTTGATTTAGGGTTAAGATTAAGTATGTGCCACTTGGTCATTCGCGTAAATCATTCATCGTCATCAATGGGAGACATCTGTAGAAAATGTTAGTTAATCGTGCCGATATCAAGTGAGAATACCACTGGATGTGGCCACAGATGAACAGAACTTTGCCTTTTGACCCTATTAGCCTAACCTCTGCTCTATATTGCAGTATATCACAACACCAACAAAGGGCCTACTGATCCTTAGTCCACGCAATCTCTGCAGCCCTGCATACAAGAGCTCCAAGAAATGCCTGGTATGTACCCCCAGATACACAGGAAGTACCCAAGTTATTTTCAGACACGATCATAAATGCTTACCTTTTAAATCCTAATTCAATAGTTTTTAACCAAACGGATCAGATTATAGAAACCTTATTATCAAGAACAAGGACATTCATTTTACTGCATACAGAAGTGCATTATATCTAATAGTGCATGATTGTTGTGCATCACATTTTTGAAGAACAAGTGCATGAGTCCAATTGCTTTGATTTCCTTTGATCAGTGGCTGACTTGATGAATGTTGTTTCAGATCTCAGAGATGAGCCAGGAGCCAAGGCCCATCCCTAAGGACTGTGTCTACCCGGCCCTGGTCAGCTGTTCTACCCCTGTGGAGGCGGTGCTGCCTCAGATCACCTCCAACATGTGGTGAGGACATAAATCCCTATATGACAGAATATTTTTCTGTCTGGCTAAATCTGACACACTAGCTAGGTTTCCATATAATTGGCGACAGATTTTCATGTGAATATTATAAAATCTGCATAAAAACAATATGCGCATTTTCCCACAAGACGTTTCCATCGAATTGACTTGTTGTGGATAAAATGCCATGCGTGAATACGTAGTGTACATAAAAATTACTTTAAAAATATATAGGTTAAATGGGTTTCCATTCCAACATTTTTGTGTTTTTATATAGCGAATGTGCCTACTCTGGTTTTGGCATGTGCGCTCTAGCCAACAGCTGGCAGATACGGTGCAGGTAGGTTACCTAGGCCTACATGATGAGATGATTATGGACAAAAGAGCTAGATTATTTGTATTTGTCAAACGGCAGCCAAGCATCGATCATCATGTTACCAGAATAAGACCCTCGAAATTTATTGAAAAGGAGTATCAAGCTCATCGCCTTGCACTTTCCCCACCCTGTGAAGTTCACCATCATTTATTTCATCTGTAGCCTAATAAACTGCGTGCTTTCCTGAGTCGTAGAGGGAGGACCACACAACATATCATTACGTTTGCATCAATATTATAGTTTTATATCAATATTTGCGCATAAAGCGTTTCCGCCGTAATTTCTCGCATAATTAATTTTACCAACACAAAAAGATCCCACGTTGTCTAACATTGTTTTGTCAACATTTGGAAAGTTTCCATCAGGCCTGTCTTGACATGTTTTATCCTACATCTACTTTCCTCTTATAAAAAGGTTGGATGGAAACCTGGTTATTGACAGAAATGTTGATTTATTTGCGTTGTTCCTGTCAAATAAACCTAATAAGTGTTGCTGACATCCAAAGCTTCATAGTGGAGGGTTTGAGATTTTTCCCCCAGACACGGAGAGATTCTTTCTTTAAACATATTTTTCTCTCTTCCTATAGGCCTCGTGGTTTTGGTCAGCTTGTGCGAGCCCGTAATATCAAAACGGTTGGAGATCTCAGTGCTCTCACACCCAGCGAAATCAAGAACCTTCCCATTCGCTCCCCAAAGATCTCTAATGTGAAGACAGCACTTAAAACATACCACGAACAGCAGGTAATGCTTAGAACGTTCAGAACAGTAACTTTCCACCACCACCTAAAAATGCAACTGAAAATGAAATCTCTTCTGTTCACCTTATTATACCAGGTAAATACTTTTCCTACATAGATTATAACTGCAGATAAAACCCAGCTGAAATGATGCCCATCTGTTTGTTCTGTATCTGACTGTTTGCCTTGTCATTGCTTCAGCGGAAGGGCCGTAGTGATGAGTTGAAGAGTTTTGAAGAGATGGAGAACATGACGTCAGAGCTGGAGGAGTCAACCCTTCCTCAAAACCAGAAAGAGGAGGACAAGACTCCTGGAGAGGGCCTCGGTGAGTTCCTACCAAATACACTACACTTGTCCTAATGGTTTTGTTGCTGCCAAGCGATTTGAATTGAATGTTACTTTAACAATCAATCACATTTATAGCCCTTTTTAAAGCAACAGTTGTCACAGTGCTGTACAGTATCCCAGCCTAGGCCACAGTTACATTACTTTTTTATTTGTTTTTAGATCACATAACTGCAATATATATATATATATTTTTTAAATATTCTTTATATAAACGTTCAATCTAGTTATAGCCATATGTAGTATTACTATTACCTCTCACAGGTCTTCAGTATGTCATACATGGTCTTCTCTCTGATCCCTGCTGTAGCCACAGAGATGGAGCAGGGTCCAGAGGAGAGATCGGACCAGAGCAGGCCTGATCACCAGAGACCTGAGGGGGATCTTCTGTCAGAGGTGGAGGCCCTGGGGGCTCGTCTAACTGGAGAGGAACTGAGCCACTGCTCCCCTGACCAGCTTGTTCAGCTCCATGATCAGCTGGGAGGGATGATGAAGAATGTAGTGGTGCAGCTGCAGAGCAGACTACTGGCTCAGAACAAGGACAGCGGATCCTGATTGAAACAGCCTACAGGGTTTGGATTACATATCTTGGGAATGCCCCGACGTGACGTCTCTTGAAGGTGCCAATTAAGGGTGCCTATTGACAGTTGTGGGTGGCGGAATATTGGTGTTTGAATTCTTATAGATTTTATTTTTTATGGGTGCCCAGGCCCCCCAGCCCCCATGGACGTCGAACCTGAACACCCCAATCGAGGTTTCTCCTATTACACTCTGACTCTTAAAAAAACAGATTCTTAAGAGTTCATCAGGACTGTGCTTCAAGTTGACTAGGATCTATGTTTGGATTGTATGTTTTTAACTCCTGTTCTCTTTTGCCTTTTTCCTTGTCCTCTGATGGGTGAGGGAGGTATTTCATAAATGCTAGCTACTTTACTATTCTTTTTAGCCTGAAAGGTTGGGTGATGATGATTAACTGTCATTATGGCAAGAGTGAAAGGGATGCACGGTCTCTGATTGGTTGTTCCAAGACTTTGCCATGAAGTGACTTTTTAGCAATAAATGCTGGCCAGGGGGATGGCACTTTTAACATTTTGTGTACTTAAATAAAGTATTCTAAGACTGATTAGGCTGTATCACCAAGTGTTATTTTAGATGTATAGGGGGATGGAAAGTGTCATGTTTTTGTAATGGTCTCTTTTTAAGCTTACAGTAGGCGGGCATCATATTTCTGTTCTGATTTTGAATTGATGACGCTTAAGGGCTGATATGTTAGCACGTACGTGCAACAGCAAGACCATGAAGCTAACTTGCCACAGGCCCAGCCATTCAGAATGAGTTTTTCCCCACAAAAGGGCTTGATTACAGAAATACTCCTCAGCAACTGGGATCTTTTATTTCAGCTCATGAAAAATGGGACCGACACTTTACTGCTGCGTTTGTGTTTTCTGCTCTTTTTTTTGTTGTCTATAAAACCTCAAAGAAATGTTTTACTGGCTCATCTTCACTTGATTTCATCTTGTCAGGTTGTGTCAATATCAAAGTTATTATTAATATACCTTGAATCAATAAGCAAGCTGCTGTAACTGCAATAAGAATGTGCAATAAGCTCACTCCACAGTTAGCTTGAACTGTTGCCAATGGTGCTAGCGAATTGGAACCTCTTCTATAGTGCAACTGGTTGGTACGTTGTCAAGGAGGGCGGTAAAGTGTGTTGACGAGGCCTGGGGCCCTTCTGCCGTGTTATGGACAGTTTTATCCTGAGTTGTACTCAAAAGCTTTACTGCTAAGCTAGCACACTGACGTCGGTTTCACTGATGAAGTGTTCTGCATTTTGAACTGCAGGAAATGTATGTAATGTAGCTAAATCAAAGTGACGAGGCCACAAGGTACAGAAATAGGAACACAAGACTGCAGTAGTGCAGAAGCGTGGTGTGCTTTATTGGCTACTGATTAAAGGTATATGACTTCCTTGACCCCCAGACCTAGGTAATCGGAAGAAACAAAACACATGCAACTAGTGGCCAGCCTTCAGGAGGGACGAGGCTCCTCTTTTACAACTTCAGAACGCACAACTCTTCAGAAACTGGGGTGTGTTCAGGGATATGAAACGCTCTGAACGTTGCAGATAGAAATACAGTGAATAGAGCTGACACGTTTCCCTATTCTGACAAACATCTGTTCTACACAATACATTTCTAAACTTTCCGTAATGTTACATCCTGAACAGAACCCTGGTTTAAGGTTTGATCATTGAGGCAATGGCTGATGCCTCAGGAAGGTTTAAAGTTACACATCTTTTAGTATTTTCTTCATCTTTCATCAAACCCTTGAGGACTTAGGTGATAATACAACTTTATTCTCTCCATACATTCACTTTTCCGTCACAGGAAAGTTTGAATTGCATGTAGCCCATCTCGTGAGAAAATTAACTTTAAAGCTTTTCAATACTATTTAACTGAAAATTAAATAAGTTTGTCTGCAATTTACACAATGGGCTTTTTGTCATTGTTCTTGCGAGACACGGTCTTGGAAAAGGTTTAACATTTGACAGTAGTCTATATAAGTATGTATATTTATTAATAAGTCATTTCAGCTTTCATGTCATCCACAGGGGATAATGAAACGAGCGTCAACAAGAATTGCATGTAGACAACATACTATAGTAGACTAATAGTTACACAGCTACTAAAATCTAATTTAAGCGCTAGTCTACACAAAAGGTTTACGAAGTGACAGATCCAGCCGCAGGTAGGGGCCAATCAGGGAGCCCAGTGGATGTCTCGCCCACTCCGGAGGAAGGATTGGGGCGGGCCGGCCTTGTCTTTAGACTACCTCAACGTAATTGGCCGGCAGCATGCCAGTCTTGCCTGAGCGCTGCACGGTGCCATACATCCAACCCTCATCGATGGCCTGCACGTTTACGATGACGTCACCGTCCTTGAAGGACACCTCATCACTGTCGGCAGCAGAGTAGTCATACATGGCACGCACCGTTTTCTGAAAGGGACAAAAAAATTGATTTTAGTCATGGTAGCTGATCTAAAGAAAGCAGTGGATGGCTTACGGCCATATCTTTTTTTTCAAATTCATTTTTGGAACAAAGTAGTGCACAACATCCCACCAAACGGATTTTGCCAAAAACGAACACAGGCCTCCCTGTTTTTCTGGCATCTCCCTTACCAATGCGGAGGCAATAAAAGTACTAATTCTGTTTCACAGTCAGTCACCATCAGCAGCCAATAAGCTGAGGACTGGTTGCCACGGTAATGACCTTTTTCCTGTGAGCTTGGTACATGGGTACAGTCAAAGTACAGTACTCACCCCGGTGGTGGAGGGGTGGGAGGGGACAGAGGACACTGTGGTCTGCTGGGTGGCTACAGAGGAAGACCTCTGCTGCAGCTCCACGGTCTTGGCGTGTGTGTAGCCTGCAGGAAACAGGAAAGACATTAGTCAAGTCAGCCGTCAAAGTTAGGATGAGGGTTAGTTATGGATCCTTCTACCATAGAGGAGTGGGCACAGGGTACTGACTACAAAGTATTGATGAGGCTTGAATATAAAGGTCTTAAATTCATGTGGACACTTTCAAACTTCAAGTGGTGCAACGTGGTTTGGTGGTGTGATATCTGAACTGGGTTGTGATTGAGAGCAGAAGAGTCCCCATGTGTGAGGACCTACAATAGTAGACCTACCCATAGAGGGGTTAACGAAGCCGTTGCTGTACAGGGACATGTGGTGTCCTGGGTCCTCAGACACCTCAGACTTCTCATCACCAACACCACTCATAGCACTGGTGGAGCGGGAGTGCTCCTTGCTGCGACGCTGGGCTTGGACTGTCAGATAAGAAAGGAAGGTCAAGGGTTGAATAACACCTAATAACTCAATCGAAATTGGTGTTGAAACGACTTGATGTGATAGTAAGCAGATTTGTCTTTTAAGCTACAGGTACAGTGCCTTGCGAAAGTATTCATCCCCCTATTTTGTTGCATTACAACCTGTAATTTAAATGGATATTTATTTGGATTTCATGTAATGGACATACACAAAATAGTCCAAATTGGTGAAGTGAAATAAAAATACATACATACAAACATAAATAACGGAAAAGTGTTGCGTGCATATGTATTCAGCCCCTTTGCTATGAAGCCCCTAAATAAGATCTGGTGCAACCAATTACCTTCAGAAGTCACATAATTAGTTAAATAAAGTCCACCTGTGCGCAATCTAAGTGTCACATGATCTGTCACATGATCTCTGTATATATACACCTGTTCTGAAAGGCCCCAGAGTCTGCAACACCACTAAGCAAGGGACTCCACCAAGCAAGAGGCACCATGAAGACCAAGGAGCTCTCCAAACAGGTCAGGGACAAAGTTGTGGAGAAGTACATATCAGGGTTGGGTTATAAAAAAATATCAGAAACGTTGAACATCCCACGGAGCACCATTAAATCCATTAATAAAAAATTGAAATAATATGGCACCACAACAAGCCTGCCAAGAGAGGGCCGCCCACCAAAACTCACGGACCAGGCAAGGAGGGCATTAATCAGAGAGGCAACAAAGAGACCAAAGATAACCCTAATGGAGCTGCAAAGCTCCACAGCGGAGATTGAGGTATCTGTCCACCCCTCAGGGGTGTATGCTTAGTCCAACACCATCATCAAGTTTGCTGACAACATGACGGTGGTAGGCCTGATCACCGACGGTGATGAGACCGCCTACAGGGAGGAGGTCAGAGACCTAGCAGTGTGGCAAAGGGGCTGATCGTGGACTACAGGAGAAAGAAAGGAGAGCATGCCCCCATCCACATTGACAGGGCACATTAATCTGGTACTGGTACTCCCTGTATATAGCTCCATTCTTGTGTATTTTATTCCTTGTGTTACTATTTTTTTATTTTTTTATTATTATCTGCATCGTTGGGAAGGGCTTGTAAACAAGCATTTCACGGTAAAGTCTACACCCGTTGTATTCGGCACGTGACAAATACAATTTGATTTGATTTAGTTCTGGCGGCTCTGTTATGGTGCAGGGTGCATTTTCCTTGCATGGTTTAGGTCCACTCAACCCCTTAGAGGGCAAGGTAAACACCAGTAAATACACAGCCATTCTGAGTGATCACCTTCAACCTGTGGTGAATAATTTCTATCCTGATGGAAGTGGATGACAATGCCCCCATCCACAGGGCACAAGTGGTCACTGAATGGTTTGATGATCATGAAAATGATGTAAACCATATGCCATGGCCATCTTAGTCACCAGATCTCAACCCAATTGAACACCTATGGGAGATTCTGGAGCGGCGCCTGAGATGGCGTTTTCTACCACCATCAAACGGAACACCAAATTATGGAATTGTTTCGCATTCCTCCAGACAGATTTCCAGACACTTGTAGAATGTATGCCAAGGCGCATTGAAGCCGTTCTGGTGGCTCGTGGTGGCCCAATGACCTATTAAGAAACTGTTGGTGTTTCCATTCTTTTGGCAGTTACCTGTATAACTAATTCAGTATTCTTTAATTTATATGATTTCCTGTAATGTGAATTATGTCATGC